TTTACAATTTTTAAAACTCATTTATATCTATATACTAGCGGATGTGCCCGGCTTCGCCCGGGTTTTTACCCGAGTAAAGGTTTGTCTAACGAACATTTGTTAAAACAATTCTCTATAAACTTATTTAAAAAAGAAGATATATTTTGATAATTTGAAACTTGTAAATTTGAATCTCTCGATAAAGTGAACATTTTTTCCCGGTCCCTGTGTGCCGTGTCATCCTGAATTTTGTCTTTCCTAATTTTCTACATTACAAAATCATCGTTTTATCTAGTGAACATTTTTTTCCGGTCCCTTGAAAAATACTCGATAAGTTGAATAAAATCAATATTAATTGGTTCCCTCGGTAATTGGAAGTTAAAGGAATAGTATCTTAGCCTTGGAATTGTATCATTATTCTTGTCTCAAATAAATTGCCGTGTCATCCTGAGATAATCTTACTTTTGATAAATAATATTTAAGATTTTATTATATATATTATATTATATATATATATTACACGTTATTTGTTTTCTTGGCCGACTGTTTTACATATGGTGTTATCTTAAAATTGCTTGTTTTGAATATTTTTTTAGATTGAGATTATTAGCTAGTATGTAAAAAAATTAACTCTGTTGAAATTTAATTTTGTATTTATATATAAATAAAATTAACTCTGTTGATTTTTTTTTTGTATTTAATCGATAACAGCGAAGTTACGCATGTTAATGTTAGGGAAAAATATTTTGATGTTAAGCAAAACCTGCTCCATCTCGTTTTACATAAATGTTGAAAATTTGGTTGAAATTGATGCATTGTAACGAAAGTTTTTAGTGATGTACACTTATGAAATTTGCATTTTATTAATATAGATATAAAAATGAATGTTTGTATGTTTGTATGTCCGGTATACAAATTCGCAGCAGTTCACTAATTCAAACCAAAATTTCCATACATAGGTAAAAAATACGGGGAAGACGATAGGCTATTTAAAAAAATATATAAATCAATTATTAAAACTATATATTTTTAGTCAGAAAATGATGATGACGATATTGCTGTATCATGTTTGATTATCAGATACAAAATTATATCGGGAAAAATTCCAAAAAGCAGAGACCACGGGTGAAACCAGTTCATTATTCTGTACGCAGGAACAAAATTCTAACAGAAAAACATTCATTCGAGCAGAAAACAAAAGCCAGATCATCTTTCTATAAAACTATCGCTTCTCAGACACAAAGTTTGGAGGCGGGACGTTTCACAAGAGTGACATCCACGGCGCCAATTTATAATTGTAACGAATAGTATTTGAATAAAAACATTTAATCGGGTAAAACCCGGGCGTTGCCCGGGTCATTCGGCTAGTTATTATTAAAATATACAAGTATCAGAGTAATCAATTCTGTCATCGTTTGCTTTTGTGAATGGAATGCTTTTACGCAATATACGTAAAATACGTAACTAATATGACTGAAATTTTAGCAGTATGTATAGTAGAATCTGGAAAAACATATATTGAATATTTCAGGTCTCTATCCCGAATATTCTTCGAGTTATTTGCAAATTTGAGTTGCAAATTTGCTCTTTCGCTTGCAAGCAGCGCCTCTAGCGGTGAAGAAGGGAGATAATATCAGCTGACCTAATGTACATGTAAAACGTGTTTTAACAGAACATAGAAAAAAATATGGAAGAGATATTTGTCGCATTTTTTAGCCAAGAAAAATTGAAATTGACAGGTTCTGGGCAAAAATAGTTGTTTTTTTTAAGTCAGAAAATGATTATGACAATATTGTTGTATCGTATTTGATTATCAGATGCAAAATTATATCCGGAAAAATTCCAAAAAGAAGAGACCACGGGTGAAGCGAGTTCATTTTTAGTACGCAGCAACAAAATTCTAACAAAAAAAAAACATTCATTCGAGCAGAAGACACAAAGCCAGATCATCTCTTTATAAAAATATCGCTTCTCAGACACAAAGTTTGGAGCGGGACGTTTCACAAGAATGACATCCACGGCGCCAATTTATAATTGTAACGAATAGTATTTGAATAAAAGCATTTAATCGGGTAAAACTCGGGCGTTGCCCGGGTCATTCGGCTAGTTTTATATATATATAGATTTGAAAAATATTTTATGTTCAAAATGTTAATCACGGGCTCACCCTGGTTGGTTACAAACACGATCATTAGAAAGGATACCAAATTCGAAAATATGATTGAATACATAATAAAAACAGGCGCTCAATTTTCAAGCGAAATAAAAAAAAACTAGAAAATATCACCTACAAAGAAGCTTCGCAACTACAAGTGGGACATAAGAATTAAAAAAAAAAAAAAAAAAAACGAAACTTAAGACTAAATCAGATTCTCATCAATTTTTTTTTAATTATTAATAATTAAAAAATATATATATGCAACAGTTCAGGAAAAACCTTTACAAATTCAAGAACAATACATCCAAGGATCGGATATTCTGGACCAAAAGATAAAATTTCTATAACATTTTTTATGGTAAATGTAACGGACTCGTGTACATAAAACATTGCTCCTTTTGAGCGTCATCCAATAATGTTGCCTTTGAGCTGAAAGTTATCATTAAACCTCCTCTCTCTCTGGACCTGTTGACCGAAAACTAAGTCCATCCCACGCCACGCTATACTGGCTTGGACAATAACTGGACTAATCCGATCATGAACCTTAGACTTTCTACTTGATAGGGAGTTCAGACTCATTGACCTATCTAAGCTGAACGAAGACTATGGACTACAAATCTGTAAGTAACAAATATCGTGTAGAATATTTCACACAATACCCATCAAACACAACATCCATTCGCTGTGGAGTCCGGTGAACAACACCAAGTCATAGATATAGCCATTGCCGGGTCACACACCAAACTCTACATAAAATAACTCATACATTGGTTGGTTTGGTCATTTTATTTCAACTCTAATAGGATTTTGGGGGGGGACCTCGTTTGTTATTTCAAACAAAACACAATGAATTTCCAACAAAATAGAGAAATTCAGATCTCCTTTACTGTATAAATATATATTCTATTGTATTTTTATATTTACATATAGACGTTATATATTCCTCCAAATTTTAAAGTTGTGGTCCTCATTTAAAAAAAAAAATAGTTTAAAAGAGATGAGATATATCTGAAGCACTTCAATCAAAGCATTTTCTATTGTAATGATGGAATGTCATAATTGGCGAGAATTAGGTGATAATAATGACTCACCTAACTAAGAGCTTTAAACACTTTCAGGTATCTCTGTACCTAATAAAATTTTACAAGAATTCCATCATAAAATGTTGCTATCAGGGGGAATGTTCCATCTATATCATGCCATTTGAATATGAAGAGAGAAATAAGAGAGCTACCACATCAAGAACTATTTTGTTGAACGTCTTCAGAAGATTAAAATAAATGTTAGAAACTCCTACATAAGAAAGTTATTCCAGCAAGTTTTCAAATACAATGTAAAAGAAAAAAATATAACTTTTGTTTACATCTCTCATTGGTAATATAAAGGACTTGATATGCTTAATAAAATCTTTAAAAAATTAGACTTGCAATCGTAACAATGCCTTGAATTAGTTTCTTCTCACACTAAATTTCCAAAATATATATTCGGATATATATGTATATTTTAAATCATCCTATGTTATTTCCCAAAGGAATATAACATTTTGATTCCCTATTTAGTAAATGAAGGAGAAGTAAAAAGAAGAATGAAAATATAATTCGCATCTGATTGATGTTAAAGATGATTGCTAATCAATATAGTGAATATTAAAATTATTATATTATATATTGAATATATTCTGTGTTGGAGAAAAAGAAAGATTCAACCAAGGCTCAATATCTGATGCTCTCCCTGCTACCCTATCTTCATCCAATTTTAGATGAAGAACCACAATGTCAACATTGAACGAAGAGTTGACTTCAACGTAAACGCCAAACAAGTTGATGGTAAGACTTTCTATTGTAATTTTGATTAACAAGGTCAATTTTATACAACATGGTAAACCAAAGAAATCCAACTTTTTGTAGTAAATTGGTAGATTCTGGTCGCCTCTTTTTCTGGAAGCATCCTAATGACAAGATCCGAACTTTAAATATATTTTATAATTAGATGAGACTGACATTGGTTCTCCTGCGTTCTTAGCTAGCATAGGAACAGCTAGCCAACCAGAAGTGATGGATGATATCACGTGATGGAGAATTAACCACCTAATTGGCACAAAACAACAGGAATAAGTCAATACTTATAGTGATTCCTCATTTCCACAGTAATGTTAAGACCTTTTTTTTTTACATTTTGTTTTAAGTTCATTTTATTCATTGCTTGGTTTTACGTATGAGGAGAATACATGAGTTGAAGAGAAATTGTTGAGGTTCTTGTCTAAAATTGGCATCATGAAATGCCGGCTACATTCGCTCCATCTGGAGGATTTTAACCATCTACCCGATAATGGGTTTGAGACAAGTAACACAATTTTTTATGTGATATGTAAAAAAAAAAAAAACTGGTTAAAAGAAACAAATAATTAATGTCAAATGAAAATGAATAGAATTCAAGATACTAGGGATGAAAATATTAGAAACATAAAATATCGTTAATAAAACTCATGGAAATATTTAGGTTCAATAATTTAAGAAACAATGGATATTTGAAACCTCTCTTAATAACTGTCTTTATGCCGGCTTCAATCATTTTGATGCTTCCCAAATGAAGCCAAAAGATTATCCAGTTCTAAAAGAACATATATAAATAAAAAATATTCTATAAATAAATCATAATTCGGAAGAATGGAAGTAAATAATTTAGGATGTTAGAGGGTATTTCAGCAAGATAACAAATTCCTTGAACTCGACGTTAACTGCTGCCATCTATGGGTGTAAATTTTAGCTAATTCCGGTAACCAAAATCACATTTATTATCTGTTAAAATGGACAAAAATGTGCTAAGATTTCAACTATTGCGATAAAAAAATGAAGCAAAAAGGTGTCGTGACCAGGATTCGAACCTGGGTTATTGCGGCCACAACGCAATGTCCTAACCACTAGACCAGTGATTCTCAACCTTTTTTTTTGTTGCGGCATTATTTTAAAGATTTGAAAATTTGGCGGCACAATTTTCGAATTTCGCGGCACACTTTTGCTAACTTGAATGCAAGAAAATTCAAATTATGTATCAATATTTCTATGCAAAATATAAGTAATATACATCTCTAACATTCAATTTGCTAATTTCGTTATTTTAAAAAGTAAAAAAATGAAAAAGAAAAAAAGAAAAACCAATACAAACGTGAACATAATCATATGACTAAAATTCGGCGGCACATTTTTAGAATTTCGCGGCACACAAAATTACCGCGGCACATTGGTTGAGAACCACTGCACTAGACGATCACGGCAGACAGCGAGGCTTGTCTAAAGGACAATATAAGGGCGGCATATTTCCCTAGATGTTTTTTTTTTGAGGCCATGTACGTTTTATTTTTCGTAATTTTCTAATTCTTCCACTTTTCTAAATACTTCATTTAGCTATTGGCCAACTTGTCAGATGGCAAATATTGAGCCGTGAGGTTAATAAACGACAAAGCTGCGAGAGAAAACCAGTATGGGTTAAATGTTTGTTTGATAGTGACCACATAATATATACATGAAGTAATATATTATTTTACATTCCGAGATACTAGAATCATTTTTGTTACTTGTACATGTGAGATTATATTTGTGAGAGAGACAGAGTTGCTTAAATTGCCCCGTCTTCCAAGAGTATAGAATAAACAATGGAATAAATGTATCAAACCCGTTTGATCTAAAATTTCAACAAAATACAAATATATAATATTCAACTCATTTTGTAGATTCATTTTGAATTTTATGGAAGAGTACTAAATTTCTTTGGAACGCTTTTATTTAGAAATTAACTCTGTTTAGCATAGTTTTGATGGAATAAATTTCTAATATCTTGCATATTTCAATTTTAAAATATTCCCTAAAACTTTCTTCAAACTGAAAATTGTTTTCTCGAATACACAACACTTTACAATTTGATTTCATCTAATAAAATTCGCATACCAACCCTTTGTACCTATTTCAATTGTTTTGATATTTTTTCTCTTTTCATCTAACTTGCATATTAATTCTTGTACATATTTCAAATATCTTTCTTTATTTTCTTTCAATGTTTAGTTTACCTTTAAAGTGCAAGTGTCCTTAGGGGGACATAGCGCTCTAAGTCGAAATAAAACAGACGTGTGTTTTGAGCTCGGTTAGCGCGTTCAAATAACTGTCTACTGATTTGGTTGAACGTTTGAACCGATCTA